AAATATTTCATACTTTCTGTACAAAGTTTGTTGAAGTTTCACATTTTTACTCTAATTTTTACTTCACCTATGGTAACCTACCTATTCCCTTGATACTAATAATAGTTCAACTAGTTTGAACTATTCAGTTGGCTCCAACTGAGTTTCCCTTGAAATGCAAATAGCTTTAGAGAGATAATTTTTGATGGAACTCTGATAATTAGTTAGTTAAATTTGAAGGATTTGGATTTCAGTATTTCAATAAGAAAAAGAAACATTGCAGTATAGTAGAATACTCTACTTTTTAGAGGTAAATTGTTTAAATTAAGAAATTCACATACTGTACAGTTTTTTCTTAAATATCCTTACCTTACTGTAAATATAAAGCAAGTTGTTACACAGTTGCCTACTTTGCTGCATTTACATTTTGGTGATTGGTTTGTAGCAGAGCCAATGGAGCATTCATTAGATGATGGAGATGGCCCTCACTATCCTCAGGTGAAACTGTGCACTTCAGAATTTTATCTCACTCATGCGCACTTGGTGAGTAAGCTGGAAGGTGGAAACTGAGAATTTCTTCTGCTCTCTTTCATAAATATGTCTGGGATGCTTTATATGCAGGAAGGTAGATAAATAGATAGGCTGTGTGGAAAAACTGACACCACACAAAATGTAGCGTTTTCTTTTTTCATATGTATATAATTATAAAAATTTGAGCAGCCCCATAACTCTGAAAATTCAGGGTAAAAAATGGAGGGGAGGTAAGATAATCAGTCGATGTTGATGTGAGCTCAGAAGAGTGTTTCTCAAACTCTGTTCCATGGACTACCATTGTTCCCAAACAGCTCAAGAGTTCTCAAAGCTGAAAATAAATCCTTGAAAGACTGTTCATAGAGAATGAGCTTTTGAATGAAGGAATTGGAGATTCTGTCTACATTTTCCTTCAACATAACTTCGTGAAAGTGAATTTTCAGCACTTGCTACAACTAAGGCCAAATAGAAAAATAAGCTGAATGTTGCACTGATTCTCTAATTAATCTCACTAAAGACCTAAATGAGTACACCATATCCAAGCTCCTATCTCCCCTTAAGATGAATAAAGCATTCATTATGCCTTTGCTTTCCTTGTTTAAAAATCATAAGTATTATTCATATTTTTTAAAAAATGGTTTTCTCTGGTCTGAAAATATTAAGAAATACTGTCTTACAATGTTTTCATTTTGTATTTTGACCTCTGTTTGGAAGTATTCTGGTGGTGGCTGTGATACGTTTTCAAAGCATGTGGTGATTTTACTGTTCAGTGTATATAGCAAGAAACTGGTATATATTATCTGTGCTCAACAGGCATACAAGTTGAAATCGCAGCCACGAGGCCTAGCTCTTATCCTTAGCAATGTGCATTTCAGCAATGAGACGGATCTAGAGTTCCGTTCTGGAGGAAATGTGGACCGTGCAGCTCTAGATGTGCTCTTCAAGTGTCTTGGGTACCAGGTGCTTGTTCGACATGATCAGACTGCCCAGGTAAGCTGAAAAATGTGACAGTCGTGACAAATGTTTGCATATGTTTCACAAAGTTTATTTTCTAGGATTGGCTGTTTTTAAGCTGGCCTCAAGATGATATTAGAGTGAACATTTCATCTTTGCTTAGAATTCTTTTTTTTTATATTTTAAAATTTTAATTACCTATAACATTGTTTTTAGCTTCTAAGTTCTTCATTGTTTCATTATCACAACTTTATTTCTTTGTTATTTCCATATAAAGTATATATCTGTATCATTAACAAAAGTTTCCAGATTTAAATTTTAAAAAATTGAAATTCCCTTGGAATCCTTTTGATTGAAAATGATATAACATCTTGAACTCCTCTGGACACTGTGCTCATATGTTTTCAATTTTGATCATTCTTGAGCCCTTCATCTCCTAGTTATCTTGCTATTTGGAGATTATATGCTCTAATTTGCACCTAAGCATTTGAATTTCAGTGTATGTGAATTCATACTGTTGTGCATTTCCTAGTTTGTCAATATATATGGTTTAAGGGATTGCTGATCTCGGATTTTTTTTTTTCTCCCTCAGGAAATGCAAGAACAGTTGGAAAGTTTTTCAAAGCATCCAGCTCACCGAGACTTAGACTCCTGCATAGTATCACTTCTTTCGCACGGAATAGAGGGTGGGGTCTATGGAGTAGATGGGAAGCTACTTCAGGTAAGTCAGCCATATGCAAATTCCTTCTTTGTTTAGGAATGTGATCCTGCAGGGAATCTGAGGATCAAATTGGCTATCTTGGAAACAACCAAACTTTAAACAGCTTTGATATATTATGGGAATCTGCCTTAAAGTTATTAATGGAAGATATTTTGTTAAAGGGGAGACAAATAGAGGGGGGAAAACTGGGCAGAGTAGATACTATGCTTGCATTCTAGTGATTAAAAAAATGTGGCACCCTTCATATTCTTTGAGTCACTACACAGTAAAATAATAAAGTAATAAAATAAAACGTGTAACATGATAGTTAAGAATTGGTTTAACCATTTCCTTTTAAAACACTCAGTTACCTTGTCTACTTGTTTCTTTTCCAGTTGCAGGAAATTTTCAGGCTTTTTGATAATGCAAATTGTCCTAATCTTCAGAATAAGCCTAAGATGTTCTTCATCCAAGCATGCCGGGGAGGTAAGTGCCTGGGGAGGGTGACCTGTGTTTCACCACAAACCTTCCCCTTTCTGCACACTTGCACTCAACTCTCCTCTTTACTTCTCTCAGGTATAAGCGGAACCCACTTTCACCTCCTTGCCTTGCTGTTGCCACTACCTCTCTCTGTAAGTGGTTCTCACTGTGCATGGCTTGTGGTCAGCAATTTGCAGACCTTGCAGTACCATGGAAAAAGAAGAGGGAGATTTGTAATAATCTCCACATCTTGCATGAATGTGGGGGCAGTTAGCCATACTAACCACACTCCAGTGAGATTTTATTTGTGTGCTGGAACTTTTGCTCTTTCTCTCTTTGGCCTGGACTCTGGTGTTTCCTACCTTTGCTCAATCTTGGTAGATTGGATAAATAACAGCCTGAGAACAAGCAACTCAGCTTACACAAAACTGTTTTGTGTGAAACAGAAGCATTATGAATTATGATGAGGTTTCTTTCATTCAGATGCAGGGGGGAGCAGCTGAATTTAAAATATTGTTAAGATGCAGAGACATATTAAAACATATTTCTCCTAGTCAAAAGCTTTCTCGAAAGTGATTAAAGCAGGTTATAAGAATATAAGAAAAGAAAGATACTAGGAACATAAGAAACATTTACGGAATGTAGGTTTGAGATCTGCCAGACTATATCATGATCGGAGGATTATAACTGATGTAAGGAATGGTGGCTGATTCAGCAGATATTTCAGCTGATTAAAATTTGTAGGAAATGCATCAGTTCCTAAATAAAAGTGTATCACCAAAGGACTCCCAGTGGTTTTCAAGTAAAAACATCCAAAGTGAAAATAAAACATCCACATGAATAATATGGAGCAATAAACCAACAGGCAGCATTATTCCAAATTATTCCCTAAATGCTGCCTTTAAAAGCTTCATTGTAACCAACTTTGGGAAAGCTAAAAGTGGGTGAGCGTAATTTCCAGAAAGAAGCTGTCCCATAAAATAGGGGCGATGGCTGTGGAATAGTCTCTCTGGGCCTCCACACCCTCATCTCACTTTTTCCCAGAAAGCCCTCATTGGGCAGGATGTTTCTGGTGAAAGAATCTGGATTTATATTTTAAATTGAGGACCCCCATCTCTAACTGTGGTTAGAGTTATCGTGGAAGGGAAGAATGCCTCAAGAAATATATGGAAGCCTAAGTTCTCTGCGATTCAGATTTGAAGATGGTCAGTGGAATCAGCAGGATACTTGGCTTTATGGAGAAGTTGAATAAGGCTGGCTAGATGCAGTTCATCAAGCAGAGAGCACTGACTACATCTTACGTAGATGCATATCTAGAGCGTTATTCCCCCCTCCCCCTTTATACTTAACAGCAACACAACAGCTCCCAGTATCTTCATTAGTCATGCAGGCTGAGGTTCTAGGGAATTGGGTTCAGCAACATCTCGAAGGCCACAAATCCTCCCCTTTGCCTTAAAGAACATTTTGTTCTGGTGAACTGTCAGACAGAATGCCTGCAGTACAGATGAATTCTGTAAAGTAAATTAGAAAAAAGTGCCTAGAAAATTGTTTCTGTAGTCCCCAGAGGCCTCCCTTAAATCTTTGCCTTTTATAGGGAACACATTTTAGGCTTGAAGAAGGTTTAATAGGGAATAAAATTTACGCTTGAAAAGCTAAAATTTTAAATTTTAAAATCCTTACATTTAAATTTTTTTTTTTAGCCAAGTTTCAGATCTTAGGGGAATACTGGTGTTGCCCTTTGAAGTGCAGAACCAGAACAGAGCTAGTGTTCTGTTACTGTTCCAGGGCTGCAGACACCTTGTCTAAGGTTACATATGTTTTTGAGGTATATGTAAAGAAAACTTTGGCACTACAATAGTACTTCTTGGCAAGTTTATTTAACACACACAAATGCATACACACACAATTCCATAGTATCTGTCTCTTGCATAAATGTTTGAACTAGCCTGCAACACAATTATTTTATTATATTTCCTTCTGTGTTGAAATGCAAGCGCTACAGATCATAACTGAGTGGAGTTTGCCTCTAAAACCAGGGATATTTCATCAGGGAAAGCAGGAATCAAGTATGTGCCTTGCACAGAACAACGGTGGACTGAATGCAAATTTCCTGGGCTGTGCACAGGGTTGAGATTAAACAAATGGTATTATTTTATTATTTTACTATACTTCTAGATCACTGCATTACCGCATGACTCCTAGAGGTTGCAGTATTTCTGTTAAAAACAATAAAGCCAATACATAAGACAACAGTGAATACTAAAGTCTCTCCGGTGTCTGTTAGCAGCAGCAAGCTGTGAATTAAAAGCCATATGAAACAGTTCAGTCTTTCGATAATTCCAATCAATATACTAAGGTTTGTGGGTAAGAGATGATATTAAAGAGAATCCTGCAGATATTTATTGCAGCTTTATGCACTATCCTACTTTCAGATACTGGTCTTAAATGCATTGATGCCAGGACTCATATTAACATGTTTTGGACAATATTTTCTGAAATCTCTCTAGAAGTATTTAGGAAATGACCAAGGGTAGCAGGAATTGCAAAAAAGGACCTCACCGTATCCTTCCACTGAGAAATCAGGCACTCTGACGAAACAAATTTAATATTTCAGATATTTCAAAATGTACTTATTTGGTATAGGTATAAATATTAAAGAAATGGAGGCTCAGAAAATAATATAATAGTGTTGTACAAATGCCTCTGTGGATCATCCTGAAGATGATTTTAGGGTGTAGTGGGGCAAATCGAACCTAGATTTGTTTCTTTGCTCTAATTTTAATTTAATTTACATTTTTAATTTACATTTGCCCAATTTAAAGTTGTCCAAGAACTACTTTAGTCTTGCATCTCATTTCACATCCTCCTGTGCTATGTTTTCAGTGAATAATAAACTGGATCAAGAAATTTGGCCAGGACAACATGAGTACATAAACTCGGAGCTAATCTCTTACCTTAGCTGGAAATGGAACATGCAGGAAGGTAGCTCAAGCCAAACCTTAAACCACTTAGTTGCTTGAACTTCTAACAAAAGACAGGAAGCCAGACTCGCATGTTGTGCTAAGCCATAAACCATGGTTCATAAACCACAGTAACTAGGTTAACGTCCCGTGCTAAGCTAGAATCTGCCAAATGACTTTATGCTATAGCATGATGTGTGAACACAGCCTCAGCCTCTTCTGTCACCATCCCCATTGAAGTGGACGTCATTAGAAGAAGCACATTCAGTCCCTGTGTCCCTTTCTCTCTGGCACTCATTGTGGAAATACTGGAGCTGCAAAATTGCTAGAGCTATGAAAGGAAAATACCATCTTAAATCAGAGCCCTGCCAGATGGAGAGCTGCTTGGGGACCTCAGGATCTAGAAAAATGCTTCCTTTCACTTGACAAAGGGTGTGTCTTTTCCTGCGGAATTTAAATCTTCTCCAAATGTGTTTGGTCCTGGTATCTTTCTGCTGAGTTTTTCTCCTTCATATTCAGAGGATTGTTCAGAGAGCAGATTTTACTAAGCTAGCACCAGCTTTCATATAGTTAAATGGAGCTTCTTACCTATATACATCTCTGTTCATTACTAAAGAGTTTTAGTAATGCATGGCTAACAGTTTATTTACTCAGGTAACAAAGGAAGAAAATCAGCAAAAATCCTGTTTATGACCTAGCTTGTAGATTCTAGTTTCACGCAAGTGAGTTCTCTTACTTGGAAAAATCCATTTCCAAGAAATTAAGTGTTTGACTTAAAAGCTGTGCTGGCTTGTCTGTTTAGCTTTGTGTTGTTAAACCTATAAAATATTGAATGACTTGCAAAAGCTTCATTACACAAACCTGACATTTGATGCTTATCTCGATTACCATCCTGCTACATTGTCTAAATGCATGGGAGCCTCTTGTTTGTCCTACTTTGATCCAACGTTCCATGCCATGCTACTTCTTCAGGATTGCAACTCCCACTGCTAGACGTTCATTGTCCGCTAGGTGCTGTTTCTCTCCCAGTGGGTGTAGGCTGGCTTTTGCTTTTAGTAGCCTCGCACCTGGAATGGAGCGGTTATGTCTATTCTACAGTATTGCTGCCAGTAAATACTGAATGCTTGGATTTATTTCATTTTAAAGGAGAAAGGAAAAGAAGGTTAATTTAGCTGGGAATAGTGAGGGCCAGCAACATCTCCTTGCTTTCCTCTTGGGGCATCTTATGATTTCACCATTATTATGAAATGTTTTCAAACTGATTATCTTTAATATACGTAACAATGGGATAAGTATACAATTTAATAACAATAGTGTGGATAAAGCAATTCTAAACACTTGTCACTCAGAGTCTAGCTGTATGTATAGTCAAATTAATACCCAGCATGCAACAAGAACCGCATGAGCAAGAAAAAACAATGAGATAAAAGGGAAGTGAATAATGATAAAATGAGCTTTGAAAATAACAGTGCTAAACAGGGAGGGTGGGGGGAGAAATCTCATACTAATAAACTGAACTCTGATAGACTAATAATTTTCTGGTCTGAACAGAAAAGGAAAGATTTTTGGAGCAGGATTAGTTGGAAGGGAAGTTGGATTAGCTGAAAGAAGAATTAAAAGAAGGGAAAATACAAAGATATACAAAGTATAAGCTTCTTTCTCTGTCCATCCAAAGCTTTTGAAAACATGATTGCTCAGTTAAGAAGCCACTTGTGTGGAGCAGAGAATATCAGGAAGACTTAATATGATTTGAAACCTGTGATGAAAGTTGTGATTAAAAATGTCTTTCCCCTTCCTCATTTTTCTCACTTTGGTATTTTCCATAAATGCAAAAAGAAAGTCGTATTTTTTTTAAATACTGCCTTCATTTTGGAAGCTCTCAGAAGCCTACCTTTTTACTTTCCAGGAAAATCTATGGTGTCTTTAGAGCATACCATAAATTAATAATTATTTTAAAAATATTATTAAAGGAATCTTTAAAAGAATATTTGGAATGGCAGGTTGTTTGGTGAGTATTAAGGGAGATAATGTCATTTATGATGATGCATATAGACATCCAGTTACTCACCTATGCTGTTGAAAATCAGGTGATTGAAATGCTCTAGTTTGTTTTTAACTATTTCTGCATACGTAATCAAAACTGTATTCTCTGATTGCTTGATGCAATAATAAATCTGGACAATACTGAAAACTTTTGTTTTCAATCCTAGCTGTATTCTTGGCTTGTTTGTAAAAAGCCTGCATGTAGGGTTTCATGCATGTGTGCATGCTTTATCCAGCCCCCATATTGATTGGAAATTTTCCCTCCCCCTTCGTGGATTCTTTTTTCAGTACGTGAAGATGGTTTTCCACAGCTGAAGTTTCCTGAGGCTGTCTTGCAAATAGCAGCCACAGAGAGTGTACAATATTAGAGCCACTGGTGACCTTTCCTTATCTGTTGGAAATCAGATACAATAAGTGTGAAGGAAGGTTGGCAGCAGTTTATGGGTGATCTTTAGGTGGTCTGTAGACTCTACGTGTGGTCTTTAGGTTATTGGGAATTTATAGGGTGTCTTCAGAATTCTTTATTATCACAACCTGATCTATAGCTACAAGACAATATTTAGGTCTAGCATAAAGTCAGAGCTTTAAAAACTGCAAATTAGTAGCTTATAGTTGTAAGATAACTAGTGTGTACAAGCTGTACAAACAGTAGCTAGAGGTTTGAGAACTAATAGGATAACAGCTATAAATGACTGAATTCTCATCAGTAGGATGTCATGTATTTATAGCTGAAGCTAATACCCAATTAAAATTAAGAAAACTAGTTTGTCATAAAAATAGTAGAATATACTAAGATAATACTGAAAAAACCTATAACATTACAGACTGCAAAACTAAGTGCAAAACTCTGGAGTCAAAATACAGGTACAGCAGTACTATTAAATCAGTTCTTGCCAAATCTTACTTGCTGCTGTGCAGAATTTAACATTATAGGTTATGGGGGAGATACTGTTAGAAAGTAAAAAGAAATGTAAAATTGATCTGTATGGCCTGGCAACTTAGAGACCAAGGGAAGAATATGAATACTGCTAATACTGTTGAATGAGCAATGGAGAAGGTCAGGCTTAATAATTTCTACTTGTCCATCATCACAAGGGCACAGTTGTTCTGGGAAATATATCTTCCGTCTAGCTCCGTTGAAGGGAAAGTATTGCACTGAGCCAAAGTAAAAGCCCTTCTATGAGTAAATACTTCTAGTTGTGTAAGATAAGTATCAGGTATTACTGTGCCCTTTAGACTTTCATGAATGAAAAAACAAACAGTGCTGTGTCTAAATCAGATTGGCACCCAGTGTCCATTGTACACTGCATATTATTGATTTCAACTTGCTCATAGCCTAGTGACAGTAAGTGGCGGAGAAGGAGCCTGAGTAGTGTCAGCTTTTTCAGTAAAGTTGCTTTAGATTAGGCTTCATCTCCCAGCATTAAACTGGAGAAGGCCCACAAGTGCAGTGTTGGAAAATGAGCTCAACTGGTCTCCATAAATTGTACCAACTTCAGCTAGTTGGAGCTGCAAATATATAATACCTTCCTTTGCTTTAAAAAACAAAAACAAAACTTTAGGATCGCAATCATTTTGGGCAATACAGCTTCCGTGAGCATTTTGGATGCCTGAGATGCGGAAGACTATACTCAGATATTTAAACTATGAAACCTGCTCAGTTATAGTCCTGCTTATATGCCAGGTCCCCTGGCAAAACTAGTGGTTTGGGGATTTTTATAGTTTATTTCAGTTATAATAATTGAGCTAGGGCCATGGGGGTTGAACTAAGTCCCATGGAGGTTCTAGAAAGGATTCCCACATCATCTGCATAGAGTAGAACAGAACTATGCAGGAAGAATAGGACAAGTATGTTTAATACCCTTATGAGTTAGAAAGCACTTGATAGATGGCCTTAAGGGTTGCACCTGACTTGCGGGATCTGCCGTTGTGAAGAGCATGAATAATCAGCAAGTGCTAATCGACTGAAGAGACGTTCAGGTTTTCCCACAGTTTAGCTCAAGTGGTGGAGTCAAATATGGACTTAAGTTCTGTGAAAGTTCATACAGCAAAACCCTGGAGTGTGTGGAGCACCTTTTCATTAGATGTTGCAGTATTAAGCACTGATCAGTCATGGATTGACCCCTCCCTAAAGTCAGCCTGTTTCTCCAGTAAGAGGCTTCCCTTTTCTAGCCGGTCTCTTAACTTCCACTAAAAACATCTGGCAGAAAATTTCCTGACTATGCAAGTAAACTAAAGGTCTGTAATTTGCCAGTCATGTCTCCTCCTTAGTTTTGACATGAGCGTAGCATGTACTTTTAATATCCTATGTTATCATGTACCTGTGCTTGTGAATGCTCCATAAGGTTACTTGATAAGAGGATTGTTCTAAGAAAGGTTGGTTCGTATCACACCAAGAATATGCATAGGTGATATCTAACAGTAGCGACCACTAATTGAAGATTAAATGAGTATGTCTGCTATTTAGCCAAGATATCTAATAGAGCTGCATGGGGTTGATCTTCTGCCTTTTGTTCCCTTTGTTAGATGAGACAGATCATGGAGTGGATCAGATAGATGGGAATGACCGGGCCAGTTCCCCTGGTTGTGAAGAGAGTGATGCCAACAAGAAGGAGAACCCTAAGTTACGGCTCCCCACCTGCTCTGATATGATCTGTGGATATGCCTGCCTGAAAGGTATTTTGGATAATAATGCAAATGCTGTGATATTTAGGTTTATTACACTTCTGAGGCAAGTCAGCATTTCTTCCTTTATGCAAGTAAAGTATCTGTATTTTTTTCTCCTTTTAATTGGCTTTATTTCTTTATAGGTACAGCTGCTATGAGAAATACCAAACGTGGATCCTGGTATATAGAAGCTCTCACTTCTGTGTTTGCTGAGGATGCCAGAAACACGCATGTGGCTGACATGCTGGTCAAGGTGGGCAGGGATATTGTGCTTTGTTTCTTTTTACGTATGTTCTAATTTCAAAGTAGTAGTTCGTACTAGGGATATGCAGGAAAAAACCCAACTACTTTCTAATAATCCATGCTTGAATCAAAACACTTGTGTTCCAGACAGAAGTATTGGAGTGGGGCAGGGGGGAGGCAGCAGGTAGGGAAGAAAGGCACTGAGAAGAGGGTGGTGAGTGGGAAATGCTGGTTGGATAATCACTACCACTGCCAATGTCCTTGGCTTTAAGGGCAGCATATCCAGCTGGCCTGCCTTCCTGCCCCCTATCTTCTCAGAGCTTTTCTTTCTTTACCTCCCCTTATATGCTCTTGAAGTCAAGGATGTCAGCCATGGTGACTAAGGAAGGTATGGAAAGGAAAGTCCTGGGAAGAGAGAGGGAGTATGCTGGTTCGGTAGGTGCCACTGCTGATGTCGTTGCTTTCAAGAGAAGCAGATCCCATAGTCTGCCTCTCCCCCTCCCCCTGGGCAAATCTAGCCATAATTGCTGCCACCGCCAACGTCCTTGACTTCAAGTGCAGGATCAGGGACAGAGCAAAAGAGGGTGCTGGAAAGATAAATCTGCCAAAGCACTGACCGTGCAGAGGAGTGGGGAGAAGGTGCACCATCCTTACTGTATTCAGCCACTAAGACCCTGCTAGATTTTATCTCAGCCAAAACCTAAAACAACCAAGCTGTTCAGTTTTGCCAAGCTGCAGCCCACCCAAAATGATTCAGCAGAACTTCTGAGACACATTTTCTTCTTTTGTAGCCATCACTCATGGATGCAGTATGAAATAACAGTGCTGACACCTCATTGCTTCAGTTTCTATGGGGCCTTTCTATGGGGTTAAGGAAAACAATCAAACAGTCTTTACAGGATTAAAGAACAGGCTTGTGTGAGGTGGCTTTGATTTGTATTGACAGGGCAATTTACACTTCAAGGCAACACAACAATCCTTGCTGCAGGGAAGAGATGGTATGGTTTGCCTTGACAAGATTTTTCCAATAGCCCCACAGCCTCCTTTTAGTTTCTTTAACATTTGTAAAAACCAGTGCGATGCAGCACTGTGGGAGAAGGTTTTTCCGGTAGTGCTACATTTGTGCAAAAGTGTCTTCAAGGGGTTGGCTGCAAACATTGGATGTGGTTTTGCCAGAGGCTTAGGAACTCCACAGCAGCCTTTTCCAGTTACTACAAATGGAAGAGGCAAGTGAAGCAATTTTGCTGTTGTGCTTTGGTTTTAGAAATGAGGGGGCTTTGTTGCTTTTTGTAGCAGCTTTGAAGTGGTTCTTTGCTGATCATATGGTCATATGTTTCAACTTTTTTTCAAATGAAATAAGCTTAAGATTATTACATTTCAAAGCAGCATAGCATTTGAAGCAGAGTTTATATCCACATTACTTAAGATCAAAGGATCCTCTACTATGCTGTGTAAATTCTTATGTATACACCCGATGGAAAGGTTTTAAAAAACATAGCAAGATGTTTTGGGATCTGAATTCAAGTAAGATTGGAATTCTTGAGGCTTAATTCTCTTTAAATCCTTCTCAGCAAATCATCAAGAAGTTACTACAGAAACAATTCATAGATAGTAAAAAAGGTAAAATTGCCCTGAAGTTAATCTTGAGTTTTGTATACATTTTACTTGGCTGTTACGTTAATGGCTTGCAATTGCTTCTATTTTTCTCTTGGCTTTCCAATCTAGCCAATGCTCTGAAATTTCCAGGTAGTCTCCCGTCTAAGTACTCACAAGGCCAGCCTTGCTTTCAATAGCCAAGATTGGTTAGGTGATGTTACCTGCTAAGCTTTACAATTGGTATACCTCTTTAAAATTACATTATATCTATTGAAATCTTTTTAGACTTTGTGGAAAGGATTATAATCAAATTATTATTTATTATATCTTTGGTGATGGTTCTCATTCATTAATTTTGGTCAAACATTTTTAAGGAGAAGAAAAATAGTATTGTCCATTCTTTTCAGACTTATAAACTATTGCAACACTATAAATGATTTTTGTTGTTGTTGTTAGGGGCCAGGTTTACTATATGTTATTTGGAAAACAAAAGTACCTCCTCCTTGGATCAATGAGCTTTAAATGTGTGGAAAATAATATTTTTCAAAAGTATAATGCAACAGGAAAGAGTCAAAGAATCCCCCAGTTAAGGATTTTTTGTTTAAATTTAGTTTCTATGTTTTAGTTATATCAACTAAATAGTTCCTAACAGATACCTTTATATATATAAAAAATCCCCTCTCACTCCTATGGGTAGTATGTGTCTTCCTCAATCTCAGGTCCTCTACCAGAGGCTTGGGAGTTTGAGGGTTCTGCACAGTATCTTAGCTGTTCCTAGCATGGCACTCTTCTGAACAAAGAGCTCTGATGTTATTCCTGGGATCTGTTGGAGTAGTCTCCTAGCTTAGGAGTCACAGCCCTGAGTGCTCCTACCATCACTGTGACCACGTTGGCCTTTACTTTCCACATCCTCTCTAGTTCTTCCTTCAGGCCCTGGTACTTCTCCAGCTTCTCATACTCCTTCCTGAAGTTGCTGTCACTTGGCACCACTACATCTATCACTACCACCATCTTCTGGTCCTTGCCTACTACCACAATGTTTGGTTGATTGGCCAGTACCTGCCTATCTGTCTTGAAGTCCCACAGGATCTTAGCCCTGTTATTCTCCATGATCTTCTGTGGAATCTCCCATCTGGACCTAGGAGTGTCTAGGCCATACACTGTGCAGATGTTCCTGTCAACAATGCCAGCTACTTGATTGTGCCATTCAGTGTACGCTGTTCCTGCCTGCATCTTACATCCTGCCATTATGTGTTGGACTGTCTCTGAGGCCTCTGCACAATCTTCACCTTGGGTCCTGTCTAGTGTGGTAGGCCCCTGCTTCTATGGGTCTAGTGCTGTGATCAGTGCCTCAGTGCTGTCTTTTAGCCCAGCCCTTTCCAGCCACTGGTAGGATTTCCCAGTGCCAGCCACCTCAGCTATTTGTTGATGGTACATCCCATGCAGGGTCTTGTCTTGCCATGGCACTTGCTGTGCTTGAACTTCCTCCCATGTCTGCTGCTGCCTCAGGCATTTTCTCAGCAGCTCATCTTTGGGTGCCATGTTACTGATGTACTCCTGGATGCTCTGGGTTTCATCCAGGACAGTGCTTTGACACTCACAAGAGCCTCACTGCCTCTTTTCAGCTGGTGTACAGTCTCTGGGTGTTGGACATGGGGTGTAAATCTCCATACATTGTAAGGAGTTTCCAGGTCTTCATATCGGCAGCCTCCATGTCCTCCTTTGGCCAGCTCACTATAGTGGCAGGGTATCTGATGACTGGCAGGGCGTACATGCTGATGGCATGGATCTTGTTCTTCCCGTTGAGCTAGCTGTTCAGGGCCTGTCTTATGCTTTTGGTGGTACTTGGATGTTGCTGTCTTCTGTGCCTCCTTATCGTCATTTTTTTTAAAAGATTTTTTATCCCATCTTTATTATTTTTATAAATAACTCAAGATGGCAAACATACCTAATACTCCTTTCTCCACCTGTTTTCCCCACAACGCCAGCCCTGTGAGGTGAGTTGGACTGAGAGAGAATGACTGGCCCAAAGTCACCCAGCAGGCTTTCATGTCTAAGGCAGGACTAGAACTCACAATCATCTGCTTTCTTGTCTGGAGCCTTAACCGGGATAAGAGAATATCTGTGTGTGTGTCTTGTCTTGTCTTGTCTTATCTTGTCCAAGATATTGGAGAATAACAGGGCTAAGATCCTGTAGGACTTCCAGATCCAGACGGACAGGCAGGTACTGGCCAATCAACCAGACATTGTGGTAGTAAACAGAGACCAGAAGGCAGCGGTGGTGATAGATGTATCAGTGCCAAGTTACACCAACATCAGAAAGAAGGAGTATGAGAAGCTGGAGAAGTACCAGGGCCTGAAGGAAGAACTAGAGAGGATGTAGAAAGTGAAGGCCAAAGTGGTCCCGGTGGTGGTAGGAGCACTCGGGGCTGACTCCTTAGCTGGGAGAGGGGCTCCAGCAGATC